TGGTGAACATTTATGGCTGCCATGTTTGATCTGGAGAAAACACATGTTAATTAACAAATTTCCTTGAATTAACTAAACATCACAGTATGATGCAGGTTTATGGCATCCTTTATCATTGGACTTTATTATTATTTTTTTTGAAAAACATAGTATCTGAACCAGTTATAAGACTTGACCACTTATAATTTCTGGTTATGGGAGACTTGAAGAGACTTGTTTATCAGAACAATGTTCCTAACCTAGCTGTCTTAAAAGACAGAATTTTGTGACATGAGATAATTGCATCAAGTTAGTTACATTCCATCTCAAGTTTGTTGCTCATCAAATATATGCTTTAGAACAGAGATGAAGGCATGTACTTACAGTAGAACCATTAGTCTGATTTATTGGTTACTTGAATATTTCCATGTGTACAATTTGATGATGTGCAAAATTACCATATGTGGCACTGTAACCTATGGAGAGCTACAACTCACAGAATCTGTAATTGCCACACTAAATTGCAATAAAATCATTCCGCTTTGTGTATAAAATTCTCTGTATTACCTGAATTTCTTTGATAACCTGTCCACTTTACAAAATATAGTAATATTAATGTCAAATTTCCCATCAGAAAATGTTAGAACTAAATTTATTTGCGAAATCAAAATTAAAGTATGCACATATTTATAAACATCTTAAAGCCCAACAATCATATCAAAGACAAACACTTACTGGATTAAATCAGACTACATTCTTACTACTAATTATTAGTAGTGGAAATGTAGCCTGATTTAATCTGGTAATCATTAGGCTTTGAAGTTTGCACACCAAATTTGGTTCCATTTAGTCATTTAGTTCTTTCTACAGAGCTTTAAACTCTAAATGCCTCATATTTAATTATAACATAAGGCATTTAGAACTGAATTTTTGATAATTTTGTTTTTTTTATCATTCTTAATGCATGTATTTAGAATTACAGTAGAGCATCGATTATCCGACTCAATTGGAGACTGGGGTTGGTCAGATAACTGAAAAAATCGAATAACTGAAAAAATGAAAAAAATACATTATTAGTATAGTATATTAGTATATTCCATGTAATTAGTATATTAGTATATTGTTAACCTACTTTGCATTAAATTTTCATCAATGTTAAGCCTAACAAAATTTTTTTTAAATAATAATCGTCGCTATTGTATCGTTAAAAATTATTTTTAAATTATTTTATTGCTCACAAAACAAACAACCACTCATAATTAGAAAATTAAGTCTCATTTAAATACTGGCCTCCCTTTCATGGTCGAGCTATTGTTGTCAGCTAAAACACGCAAAAATTTAAGAAAAATAATATTAAAGTAGCCAAGACATAGCCAAATATTGTAGCACCGCATCACTAGCGGACATTTGAAATTTGCCGACTAGAACGGTCGGTTAACTGATATGACGGTTAATCGGGGGTCGGATAATCGATGCTCTACTGTACATCTAAATACATCCTTTCAGTAAGTGAAAAGTCAGAATATTACTGTTAATACCAGAATCATTCTTTGACTTTATGCATATAAAAGTATGTCTTGTCTTTATTATGTATTAACTGTTTGAAAATGCCATTCTTAAATGTAAATATATAGAAAGCACAGATTATGTAAATTATAATATATAATCTATATATATATATATATATATTTTAAGGAGTTTTATTAGCTGAACTCCTTGATTTCTCAATAAATTTAAATGAATTATATACATTAAGCTTTTTGTTTTTGGATCTGATTATCCATTTTGGAGTTATCAGGTTCTGAAATTTTCTTATCATTTAGTATATTTATATAAGAAATTTTTTGCAACAATTCAATGTCAGTTTCACTAACAAGCCAACTGCATATGTTGTTTACAAAGTCAGTTGTGGACCTGATTTCAAAAGTTGTGTTTAAAGTAAATATTCTGCACTTTATAAATATCTGTTAATCATTTTGTAACAACTTTCTACCTTCCCTTGCTTTGTCTTTACTCATGGACAACTTTACATTGCCATGAGTTGTTCAAAGCTCTTCAATGGCTTAAGGATTGGCATCAAGAGCCAAAGCAGCCAGAAGGACCTGGGTTCTATTGGAATTACTACATAGTAAACAAAGATATTTTGTAATCCATTTTTGTAGTTGGTAGGCCTATTGGGAATGTGAATATATTTTATGCTTCTAACATCTTATCCTATATGTACTGTAAGCTGTCTGCTAATAGTATTACAGTAGAGCGTCGGTTATCTGAAAGAATTACAGTCGGCCTAAAGTATAATTTTTATTTGTTTTTATATTTTTCAATGTATTTATTTCGTTTGTAAAACATAAAGAAATCATTTTTAACGATACAATAGCCACGATTATTATTTTAAAAAGTTTACATTAGGCTTAACATCGACGAAAATTCAACACGAAGCGACACGCAACAGAGAAAAATTTCAACACGGGATAGGTTAATATATTTTTTCGTACATAATCGGTTATCCGAAAAATAAGTTATCCGAACAACCCCAATCGATTCGGATAAATGACGCTCTACTGTATATCAATTTTTTTGTAGTATAGTATGATAATACGAATTGGCCTTAATCAAATGCCAAAAATATATCTAGGAAATGTGATCAATAAAGAGATTTCTCTGCAATCTTTAATTGAATCTGAAAAAATTTGAATTATGATTTTGGTCTTTTTGTGCTACATAATTATGACATCACATCACCTACACACCTCTTTTTTATAAAGTATTTATATTTATCAATATTATATTCTGTAAAAACATTATTAACTAATGAACTAAAAAAACTCTTCAAGTCTTAGTCATAGAAGATAGTATAGTTAACATTATATTTCTGAAATCATCATTTGAAAAACCGAGAGTAAACTTCGGAATTAAATCAAAACAAGTAGCAAAGATAAGAAGAAAAAGCATAATAACCATCGAGTCATATCGAGTGGATAACTTACTTTCATACAGTCTGAGCCATACCGATTCCAATTTTTTGACAGTCTTGTAAATTAGTTAATAAAGTTTATATGGATACTTTCAAATAAGAATATCAGTAGTCTTATTTTTTTGCTGTTATTGTAAACTAATTGCTTATATGATTTGTCAAATATAAGTATTCATGTTGATATTGGTGCAATAGAAGTTCTATTATAGGAAAAATGTATTACAGTTAATGTTTAGAGAACTAATTCTGGATTATAATTTCTATATAAATAATTTTATACTAATAACAAATATTGTTAAACTGCTCATTTTTGGAAAATTAGATTGTAAGAAAAATCATCCAACCTAGAAACTACCTAATAATTTCATAATTTTATTTAAATTATATCATTAGATGTTTCCAAAAGACACCATTAGAGTTTTATGCTTCAATATTGCATCATTTAAAATTACCAATTTTTCTCAACTTAAATCAAGTTGGCTCAGCTGGCAAAGTAATAAATAGAATTCCCAAAAGTAAACAATTTATATCTGTTTAATAGACTTTATATTACATTTAGATTGTTTCAGTTTCTTTAAATAACCTAAATATCTGAATTTCAAATCAATGTCTTTTATGTGTAAATTGGTAGGTACTTTTATACACTCAGATCCTTTAAATAGAACTTTTTAGTTATGTAAACTATTCTTCATTAAGATTTCAGAAAACTAGTCTATTTCTGATGTAATATAGTAGTAGATGATTATAATTGTTTTCACTTATATTTTTGCCATTTAACTTTTTTTTTTAATCATTTTGCTGATAATTTTTTTCATTTTCCCCCTTGGGTGTCAAATGATCAAAATCCAATAATATAAATCCCTAATTTCATATAGTAGTAATTGCATAAAAAATTTGACCTTGCCCAGATATAATCCAAATAAAAATGAAAATTATAAAAACAATATTAGTTTTAAATTCCAGTAAAATTATCAAAATAAATTTTTAATTTTAAACTTAGTAAACCACTAGCAAAATTAAAAGTATGAATTTTATCTTTTTAATTATGTAAAAGCTTTGATTACTAAATTAAAGAATATAGCATTAATTATTTTAATAAGTCTTGAAATATTTATCATGTTTAGTTATATAAATCTCAGTAAAAATGACCAATTTAATTCATATTTAGGTAGAAGATAGCTTTAGGCAATTTGTATTATCATCATCAATCATTATCTGGATGAAGGATTCCTGTGAACTTTTCCATTTTTCCTTATCCAATGCTCTTCCAGTTTTTTAGTTTACTCCTCTTATTTCATTACTTTGTCACACTTGGGTGCTTGTCTCAGGTACACCTAGATGAGCAGTACAGTACATCTAGATAAGCCAACTGTAAGGGTACGACTATGCAGACGCGAGCGAGCGAGAATATGTGGCAAGAAGAGGCGAGAAGCGATAAATATCAAAACCTGTCAGATACGTGCGAGAAGCAGAAATTTGCTCTTGCTAGCGTTATTTCTCGCTTCTCATTTGTGCATGGTTTTCCTTTGCAAAAACTAAATCGCTCGCAATCTCTCGCTCGTTCTAAATTCGCGTCTGCATAGTCGCACCCTAACATTTACAATCCAACTAGAGAGGCATTTCAGAATTGGTGAAAATGGGATCTAAAACCAATTGAACTTTGGTTATTTTTTAAATTTATTTATTTATTGAACCATAAATTAGGATATTATCTTGGCATGTTAATAAAATTGCTCTATTCGGATTGATTCTACAATCAAATATTAAAAAACAAGCAAAACCAGAGATATCTAGTTATGTTAATCTAGGATATTTGTAGCCCATGTTATCTTGTCTTCCAGCAATGTGTCCACTCTCTACCCTTATCCATGAATTCTCTGAGGTAATTTGTATACAGACATGTATATAAAACAATAAATGTGCAGTTAGGTACACCTAATAGTGGCACTTCCAGTTGCCATCTTGTTTGTGAATGCTATGTCCATAAACAAGATGGCAAACAATGCAAATACTAACAAAACCGTACTATATAAAAAAGTGTACTCACGATTAACAGTTTATTTATTTTTCTTCAATTTCTTTGAACTGGAATGTGAATCTGCAACATCTTCAGTGACTACGTCTTGTTTTATCTTACTTGACACTTTTCCTGTACTTTTAACACACATTTCTTCTTTCTTCCTCTTTTGATTTTCATTATTCTTGGGGACTGCTTTCGGGGCAGAAGGAACAGTTTCTGGCTCTTTCCATATTGGTGTGTGGCCTGCTCCCGGATAAATCTTACCCAAATGCCGAAGAAACAACTCGAAACGTTCTCCCGGTTTTAGTTTTTCCCATCTCAGAATCTTCTTATACATAAAGGCATATAAATACGAATCAGACAAATCTTCAGTGTAATGCGTTGGCAAATTCTTTCTGTTTTTCAAACAACGCCACAATCTTTTAATTTTTTGTGTATGGACACCAGTAACTGGATCAACAAAATTTTCTGCACATTTCACAGTTTCATGTTTAATATCGACTCCTTCTAAATCATTGATATGATTATATCCTTTCCATTCGTCTGTGTACACAATGCTTCCTGAATTTACAAATTTACTAATAACCCAGTTAAGACTAACTTCTGACCTGTCATTTACTTTACATACAAAACATGAATTATCATCTCGACAAATTCCACCTACAACCCACCTAGTAGCTTTCGAAATCCTTCCCTTTTCGTTTTTCCTTTTACTCAAAGTGGTTTCGTCGATCTCGACAATCTTTCCAGGTCCACCAATTTTTGTCTGGGATAAATTATAGAAGGAAATCATCATAACGTGTCTTACGAAGTTTGCCCAGTCGACGGCCGTACGACAACTCACACCCACGGCCAAACAGGTGGTGCTCAACGTACACTCAATGCAAATTAGATGCCATATGAAAGAAAATATAGTTCCCCATGAAATTTTCCCGAATTTACCTTTAAAGGTTCCTTCGAACGGCGAACCGCTCGTCTTGCATTTGTGACATCGGAATAAAATCGAATCGTGATCCTTTCTGTAAATTAATTTATAACGACCTTTGCATTTTGTACAATCTGCAGCAACAGGTTGTAAACCTAATTTTATGGCAAATTTAACATCTGAAGAAATTCTTTTATCAACATGTATTTCGGGAAAATCGGATTGTAAATAACGAAAAAAATCCATTGAGGTCCATTTTTGCCATAAAAACTCTTCCTCTTTAAGTAATTCTGACATTACAACAATACATACAAAAATATTAATAATTAATTTGGATAAATTTTTACAAAAACACAAAGAAATCAATTTTTTGAAACAGTGCCATTAGGTATACATAACTGCATATTTACCTATAAAACATCTACTAAACAGATAAATCGTAATGCATTATAAAACCCGTAAATACGAGTTAAATTGACGTCACAGAGATTTTTAGTGTTAAACACTTCAGGAAACACCTGCATCACACTTGATTAAGCTGTCACGTTCACACGTATTATAAATGTAATAAAATGATTATTTAATTTTTAAAAAAAATAAATAATTTATTAATAATTAATGTATAATAAGAAATAAATTACTTTTTAATAAAGCAATTTAATGGTATGACGTCTCATGGCGTTGTTTTCTTTTGTTTATTTTTTAATGGCGGGTTAGGCCTAAATTTAACGTTTTAACCGAATTTTCAAGATAATCGGGAATTTTTGTATATTTATGTAATTCGTAAAAATTTTCTGTTTCCTATATTATCTGTTTTTAATTGCCTTACCTGAAATAATTATAAATTTCCAGTTTTAATTATGAAGTAACGCCAAACCACGCCATAAATTCAGATAGGATAATGCGCCATCTAGCGAGATTTAAGGTGGGGTTGAGTTTCGGCGGACATTCGTTTATTTCATTTAATTTTAAATAGTTTATGCGTTTTATTACATTTACTTCAAGAAAAATGCGAATATATTTGATGAAAGCCTCAAAGTGCAGGAAGCTATGATGGAAGAATATAATTTGGATATACAATTTTCGTTACAAACATCGATTTCGAGATTGCGTCGAATGTGCTATTTGTTCAATTCTTCCTATTTTGTAGGCGCTAGAGCTTTTTTCCGTCTAGCGGAAAAAAACCTCTAGCGCCTACAAAATAGCGGTACATGGATAAACTTTCCTTGAAAAATTCCTGGGGTTTTCTACCCCGAATTCGATTCAGGGTTCCCCAGAACTGAAAACTGATACCCTACTTCTTCGGCTGTCCGGTAGTAAACTTGTGCTACTAGTTGAAACATTGGTCAGACATATAGCCGAGGCGTTAAAGGCGTTATCCTACCAATCTGAGGACTCGGAATCGAGTTTAGGCTAGCAACCCCAGACATTTTTACGGTAATTTGTTCTATATATATCGAGTACCGTCCCTTACTACTTGGTTGCTCACAAGTCAGATTGATTAGTCTAGGACACCATTGTGGTCCTGATTAAACTCATCATAGACATGGAAAAATGCTCTCTTAACCTACCACTCTGGGGAATCCGAAAACGAATCCGGACGGTCGAAAAACCCCAGGAATTTTCTGTGGATGATCTAAACCTGATATATCCGGCCTTCTTTCCTTCTTCTCAATCCGAACGTTCCATTGTGGACATGGCCGAATTCACAACGAACTTGATAAGAAGACTCTCTTAATTCCCACAAGTCAGAAACAGTCCCAAAAAACTAAGATGGAATCTAGTTTTACATTAAAAAATCCTCCCGATAGGAAATTCCTTGTCAAATGCCTTCGTGTTGCGTTATCTTGTCACTTCAAACAGTAAACAATAACATGACTTTTGTGAAAAAAGCAGAAACAATATACTATGAACAATAATTACTGAAATTTGTTAAATAAGCCGTGACCATACATAATCATCGATCTATCGTCTTGATGTTGCTAAACAGTTATCTATCGACCATCGCTTTTGTGAGGATCCGATTCGGACTTTTCGTGTGTTTATATCATTTCACATTGTAGCTATACTTTCATTCGATAACTGTCAACTTTTACACTGGGAGCTAAACATCTGCTAAGTTCTCAGGCTTAATAACGACGCTTTCTCAGCACCTTGCGACCTAATATCTCCGTTTCAACAATCCAACTTGAAAAACAGACAACAAAGTGAGGCAGTCGTCACCAGTTCCTCGATCGGACCACTCGAGTTTTCCCTGTGCCTCGCCTTTAGATATTTCTTCGCCTAATAACTGTGGAAATAAGAACTGTCTCCTGTCTTCTGAGTTCAGAACTGTCTTCTTTTGGGATTTCATACAAGGTAATTATCGACACGCGAACTTCTGTAAACTCTCTCTCTCAAATCGGGTCATATCTTAATATCTAATACTTATCAAATCGAGAAACGTATCTAACAGCAACCCTATCGTTAACCATTAAACAGTTGTTACGTTAAAATGTCTATGAGTAGGTCACTTCCGATGCGCTGTCTCTCTTTCTATCTCGACTCTGATAGCTCACACACGCGACCGCTCACACGCCCGAACGAAACGATTTCTGTGTCTAGCCGTGAAGACACAGTGGTGTCAGTCCTGACGAAACTTGTCATTGCGATCTTCACCGATGCGATATCGATCCTTCGGTCACGTGGTGCCGAGGAATAGGGAGGCCCTTCGGCATTGTCACACTTTGTTCCAGATCTTTAAGATTTATTGTAGATAGTACGGGCGCAAAAAGTCGTTTGTTAACTCTTACTGCTATAGACACAGGCTAGAAATTTCTAGAATACCGACTTTTCTGACGTAACCTAAATGCAAATGTTTCCAATACTAAATTGGAGTTTAATTGCACAATGTTATGTGAAAGCGTGCCAAATTTAGAACAAGTATGAAAATGATACGATACGGTTAATATATATGGTTTCAATTAAAAATTATATCATACATATTGGCATGTGTTCAAAACTATTCATCAGATGTAATTAGATTATTTAAATCATTACATCGTGGAAGAAGAAAAGGAAAAAAGTCGTGGTTTCACACATCAATAAGTCGATATACGTGTGAACGTAGAGGCTAAGTCTTTCCTGAATCTGCTCGTTTGACGAGATCAAGTCTGTGAATTTTTTAAAATACAGTATACATTTAAAAATATTTTAGGCATAGTTAGTAGCTACTGTAGCTACGACGTGAGGTAAAGTTTTGTAATCATCTAAATTATTAGGGATATCCCCGCTTAACTTGGAAGCTATATTCCGATAAAGTAAGTTGTTAATTAAGCGAATCCGTGCTATACGAAACAAAGGATTAGTACAAAAACAGGGTTAGGTTTTAAAAGTTAGCAAAAGTATAGGCTACGATTCTTTTTGCAATGAAGAGAAATATGTTTATTAAAGCAAAATCTTTTATATAGTAACATTCAATTTAATCTTTGAAAATAAAACATAGCGACAATTTTTGTTTATTTAGACTCTAAATTTTAGAGCATAAACACCAACGACAGATAATCTGGTTTATTGGAAAGATAGAATATCATAATAATAAGGTAGAAAATTGTCGCATAGTCTCATTTTTGAATATTATAAGTACGCTTGCTTGAATAAAAAATTAATATCTAATGATGGTGTTTGTACTTAAAAATTGAGGTTTTATACGGGAATGTCTTCAATTCTCGATCCGTGTTAGAGCGAAACCGTGTTGTAGGAATGCCATGTTGTGCGAGGGATATCTATGTTTTTATGTAAAATTGGTTGCCGAATCTAAAAATAATAAAAATGAGACTATTTGGAGCGAATATAGTGATTGAAACTCTCATTTTAAGATGGAAAACTGAAATTTTAAAATCTTTAAACGTTTATAAAAAATGCGCATATTCCGGCTAGATTTGGCCTCTACTTTCACGAGTACTAGACGACTGGATGGCCGAGCGGTTAAAGTGGCAACTCACCATTCTGGAGACTCCGGGATCGATCCTGACGGGTCGAAAAATCCCCAGGAATTTTTCGGGGTGGTCCGACCGGATATGTCTGTCCTACCCGGCAGCCATATTGTGGGCCTGGCCGAACCCTTAATGGATTTGTTAAGTGAGGCCTTCTTAGTACCCACAGGGTGGAAAGAGTTAAAAAAAAAACTCACGAGTATATCGACTTCTTGATGTGCGAACCATAACATTTTTTGTTCTATGGTGTTATCGTTATTTACTTATGCTAACGATTGAATAATTAATTTTAAATATTACAATATTTAGAATCATTTATATTTTTGTGAAATTCTTATACTATGCCCGTCAATTTTGTGGCTCCTCAAAATCTGTCGCCAGCTCTGTCACGGGTAGTATAATCAGTTGGATCCCGTTATTCACTATCTAGTTGCCCCATTGGATCTGGCCAAACTCACGATGGACTAGAAAACGTAGTTCTTAGTACCCACAAGGCAGAAAAAGCTAAAAATGAATGCAGATATATGTATGCTATTCGAACTTATTACTAATAAAATCTCCAGCATTAAGTGTGATTAAATCATGTTTTTCTGAATTATACCTCTTTATATAAACATATGAATACGTTTTAACTAGGATATCGCGCGACTTTGTCGTATCCCGATAGAATTGAGGTGGAACCGGAAAGAAAGAGGCTATCCTTGTACGAACCGAGCACGGACAGTCAAGTTTTGTAGTTGTCGCCCACTCAGAGACTATCCTTGCATTAGCCGACACGGAGAGCGCGGTTAGATGGCCGAGAGATTAAGGTGGAAGGCTACAGTTCTGGGGACCCGGGATCGAATCCGGATGGGAGAAAAATCCCCAGGAATTTTTCGGGGATAATCCGACTGGATATGTCGGCCCCGTTCCTCACCACCCGGCAGCCCCATTGTGGGCTTGCTATAAGAGGCCCTCTTAGCATCCACAGGGCGGAAAGAGTTTAAAAAAACAACCGGCACGGAGAGGTAATTCAAGAACAAAGCAATTGGCATCGATCGCTTTGTTATTGTCTCGTTCGTTTTTCATTAGGTGCACTGAATCGTATCAGAAAAAACATTGTTTGACTCCACTGTATCTCAAAAACAAAAAATAGTTCCCATTTTTCTATTACATATTTGGATTCCTCATAGCAATTAATGGAAAATGGCAAAGTTTCATCAAAATCGAACCATCAAATTTTGAGACCGAACGCAATTTTGTAAGCCACATAGAAGAGGTTTCGCTAACGCTTCGCCTCAATTGTATAAGGGTTGTCGAGTTGTAGGCCATTTTTGAAACAGAAACTTCGGCTAGACTTCTAAAAAGTTCTTTCATATGTTATTGAATTATCTCATGTTATCCATTATATTAAATGACTTGTCAACGTTTCACATTTTCAAATAATGCTGAATAGGGAAAAAAATATTGCTATAACAACAGAAATAGCACGTACTATTAAGTCAATAATAATTTCTATCGTCCATTTCTGTGAAAAAAAAAATTGATTTTTTTTACAAATTTTTATTTTTTTCGATTTTCGGGTGATATCATTTTAAAATACTGATAGCTGCGAGTATCCGCTGATTTACATGGAATATTAATTTTATTTTAAAAAATATTTCATATTTTTGTAACTTTGCTAAATTTTATAATTTATTATTATTATTATTATTATAAAAACAGTTTATATTTTAAAAATAATTTATTACTGAGGATTTTGGGCTATTAAACTAATTTTTGTTTAGCCACAAGATGGCATAACAGTGGCGGTTAGTAGAAGAATATGGCGTCGATATCGATTCATTGTTTATGCTGAAGATATTGCAGAGGTGAAGTGTTTCACCTTTATTTTGTTTTGTTTAGTATTAGATAGACACTGCCGACATGGAGGAGATAGTAGCCGACGTTTGTGGTCTGAAATTCGACATCGAAATCGCTCTGGAACAACAATTAGGAGCGCTGCCATTGCCATTTCCTGGCATGGATAAGTCTGGAGCAGCCATTTGTGAATTTTTTATGCATGGCATGTGCAACAAAGGGTCAGCTTGCCCGTTTCGACACGTGAAAGGCGACAGGACGGTTGTATGTAAACATTGGTTACGTGGCCTCTGCAAGAAGGGAGATCAGTGCGAATTTTTGCACGAATACGATATGACTAAGATGCCCGAGTGTTATTTCTATTCCAGGTTTCACGCCTGTTCCAATAAGGAATGTCCTTTCCTTCACATCGATCCAGAAGCAAAGATAAAAGATTGTCCCTGGTACGATCGCGGTTTCTGTCGTCACGGACCCAATTGTAGACACCGGCATACTAGGCGAGTCATGTGTATCAATTACATGTGTGGTTTCTGTTTCGATGGACCTAATTGTAAGTTTATGCATCCTAAATTCGAACTTCCCATTCAGGATCCGGCGCAACAAGCTAAGAAAGCCACTATGTTATGTCATTACTGCGGTGAACCCGGTCACAAGGCTGCCGCTTGTAATAAAATGCCTCAGGAAATGAAAGAAGAGCAGCAGATGAATCGCTTGCAGACCATTCACACCATACAAAGTATCCAGACTCAGGTGACACAGTTATATGGTCAAGATTTTGGTTCCAAAGCTTATAGGCCCTTAGAACAAGTTACCTGTTTTAAATGCGGCGAAAAAGGACATTACGCTAATAAATGTCCTAAAGGACATTTGGCATTCTTAAGTACTGCTCTTCAGGGACAGGGTAATAACAATTCTCAAACCGCAATTGAACAATGATGTTTAATGATTTAATTTCATAACAAAAAAAAATGTTTTGTTTATCACATCACATTAGTTTTTAGGAAATATATTAATGAAAAGAATTCATAAAATTTTTCCAATTTCCATCTCACCACTTCGAATGATTTTTCTTTAATGTTATTTAAATAATTTTATATGAAATTTTTTAAACTAGTTAATTTAACTGAAAGAACAATTGTTTTAAAGGAAATTTGATAAAATACCTTCCTCACATAACATAATTTGTGTATTATTTTTGCAACATAAATCTTTATGCAAAAAAAATATATGGTCATTTAAGATTTAATTTTTTCTGTTGTATTTTTAAGAAGATTGCTTTTATATGTTAATGAGGATTTCTATACAAAATTCCAAAACAAGATGAATATTGCACAAGTCCATTTGCATATATGAAATTGTTCATTTATATATGTGTTACATGATTTATTGAATTAAAATTCCATAAACGGAACAGATATTCATTCACTCATACTTAAATCACTCAAAATTTTTACATCTTTCAAAAAAAGAAATCACTGTGTATGTTGGCAAAGTATATTTTTTTACATGTGCAATTGAAATAAAAGTCATACATCTGTTTATCAAAACTTATTGTCATCTAAATGATGATTTTAAGTGTAATTTTTAAAGTTAATACAATTTAAAATTACATAAATCTAGTATATTATTAGATCATAATTGTTAAGATATTTTTTATATATTGGAACTGCTAAATGAAGATGACTAAATGTAGTTAAGTGGAAGAAAAATCCAAAAAAAAGTTTTTCTGTTCTTAAGTTCAATTTTCTGCCGACAGATGGCTACAGCTGTACATCGGTTGAACAAGAAGAGTCATTTTGCTCTCTGGTATGAAAATTTTTCGATTAATGTTACTAGAAGTAAGAATAATTTGCTAAATATTATTTATTGCCGTGGTCTTTAAAAGGTAAAATAATTTAAATTTGCTAGATTTGTAGCTTTAGATATCGATTTTTATAGTTTAGATATTCTCAATGAATTCGTTTAGTCTGATGAAACAAAAGATAAGAGTTAGAGGAAAAATTCAGACTTTTTAAATTATTTTTTTAAATCGATGTAGATTATTTATAAGCCAAATTCTTTTTATTTAAAGTACCATTATAGAAACGAATCTTTTCATAATTAAAAAAAAAAATTAAGATTAAACAATAGAGCGCCATCTGATGTACAATTTTAAAACAATTTCAAATCTTAACACTTAATGTGTTACTTTTAACACTAGATTAATTGTTTATATCGTGATTTTAAGCAAAATTATCAAACTTTGTCATAAATAAGTACAGTAATTAGTAATTTGAATTAAATTTGCATTGTCAAATACAATTTTAATGCATATTAATGCTGATAAGAGTAAAATTATCTCAATTGAATATGCATATTCTATGCAATCTCGATGGATGAAGCCGTCAAAAATTACGCAGAACTACCTAGTATTTTTGACTGGGGTAAGCTGGAAAATCCACATATAGAATAAGAGCGTGGCTTTAAAACAGAGAATGTGACCATGTCTATAAAAGATTCCGATTTTGATCATCGACATCTGTTTGGTAAAAAGCAAAACATCGTCATCTTGAAGTAGCACATGGGGCTAATTGCATCAAACCAGCTGACCGTCTGTTGATACTTATTACCAACATGGACGATAAGTAAAAGCTGGCGACTACAGAATTCCATCAATCAGATTTTTTACAGCTGTAGCCGACAGTTGACATCAGAAATGGCTAAGTTTTATTTCAGAGCAGCATTGATTTCAATTCATTCCTTCTTCCCCAATCTCTTCTTCTCTGACTTACGACGAGAAATAAACTAGTTGAGAAATTGTAAAAATATACCATTTTTTCTTCTTCCTTCTTCGCATCTTCCTATTTTTTTTTTTTCTTTTCTTTTGTCTGTCCTCCGGAAAAGAATCGTTTAACTTTAACATTGTGTCTCCACCAAGAAGTCGTGTTTTTTCTTTAGTAATCTTCCGTGTAAATCTTTACAAATCTCTAAATATAAGGCCATATTTTAATTTTAAAAACGGGACTTTCTTCAAGGATTTATTCATGAATCACAGGAGGAATGATAATTCGTCTTTTATATTAACACTGAAAAAAACACTAGGAATTAAGTAAACAAACTCAAAATTTATTGCCTAGACAATAAAATTATGAAAGATTGGAGTTCATTGGGAAGGAAAGGAAAAAAAGTCAGTTTTTATCGAGTCGAACGGATGAAACATTTGCTATAAAAGTACAAACTATCCTCCATTCATCCGAATTAGTCAAGTTGGAAAAATATTGTCTGACTGGAGTTCAAATATGGACTAAGGTTTATGATGTTTTCTACTTTCTGTTATCAGTGCAACAGACTGATATCTTAATAAATAATGGCGGTCAATCCAAGTATCCACTACTAATCCACCATCACGTTTTCCTTACGGATAACACGTGAGACGAACCTCAAGGGAGAAAGCGTGACTTTGGATGTTAAGAAAACTGTTGCTGTTGTCCCGGGTCCCATCTTATTGCCAAAGACATTTGTGGTATATTTACGTCACGCCTTTGAAGAATTTAGTGCCCTCCGTTAAGTGGCGCCACATAGCCAGCGACTTACTCCACTTCTCTCAATAATTAATTGCCTATATAATTTCCAAAATCTGTTAAAGGTTTTACTGATGTTTCCCGTTGGATTTTAGTAATTTAATTTCGTGAAGATGGCCTAAACAACGCCTTATTTGTCGCGTTATTAGAAGCGCGTTAAGTTAGCCACGTTAATGGTGATTAATAGCTCAATTTTGCTTACTTTTTTTAAACACTCGAACATTGTAACTCTTAAAATATAAAAGTTCTATAATGGAAAATGAGCATGCGAGGCTTTAAACACAAAAAAAAAGTCCGATTTAATGCCGTAAAAACACGTTTATATTCGCTATGATCCCGCGTATACATGACTAGAAAGCGAAAATAAAAGCGGCAATAATTATGCTAAGCTTTAAAACCGATTACGATAATTGTGAAAATTGTTATTTTAATATTAACAGTATTTAAACTAGAATATATCGGGGATGTACGTCAATTTCGATTCGATAGAACACGCCCTTTAGCGAGAACGTGTGAAATTAGACAATGCTAATGACCAGAATAATGTTGAACGTCGGTAATGAGATAGACAACGAACAGATGTCACCTGTAAGCATTTGGGATTCTATCCTTGTCATCTCAAGTGTCACGACAATCAAGCGAATCAGACTCGTTTTGAATAACAAATTGCTACGAGTCACAATAAAATAGCTTCGACTGTTTCTCTACTACTACTAATCAATAGGAGAGAGACAGAAAGAGAGAGAAAGAGATAAAAAAAATAACTTTCAACTCTACTAAACTAAGGAGCTAATTGGATGCGGTAATTAAATGTTATCATTTCTTTTACATTTCTTACATTTTTGTGCATTTATTATAGAAGAAATGCCAATAAAATTTCTATGCGGGATGCACTTTTGGAAATTTGACTGCAGTAAAATGCATTGATCTAATTATTAAGTTAATTATTCTCTTCCTAAGCTAAATCTGACAATTCACTATAGAGACGAGTAAGTAGCAATTTTTTATTCTCTCTCTGTCTCTTTTTTTTTTAAATAAAATGACTTTTTATTCGTTAATTAAAATGCTAAATATAAAATATATACGGCGATTTATATTTTTAATTAAAGGAAAATAAATTCTTGCGGATAAATCGCGCAAAATGTTCGGTTTTTTACCATTAAAATCCGATATCTTTATAGAATAATTAAGAGTTTTCCGCGTATGCGTGGCTAATCATAGAAGAACTGAGTCATTTTTTTTAAACTTATTTTTTATTATTTTATTAATGTGAGACTCGCTTAAGAATCATATAAGTGCCCTGTGTACCTACTCGACAAATATTCATCGCTGTTTCACAAGATATCGCTGTTTTTGTCAGCCGATGATGAGTAATTGCTGCAGAAGCATTTCCTTCAACTGCAGAGCCGACATGTCAATGTTTAGATGCTATATATTCAAAAAGAAAACATCACAGTAATCTTCCCTTCTCTGCTCCAGGCAGTCGATCCAAGTTTTAAAATAATGGTATTTCATAAAATTATATTCCTATATATTCAACGGGCAATAATCCACGTTTTTACTCACCCAAGAGATGAAAATATGTAAAATCGTCCACCATGTTTTTTACTCCTGATTACGTTCTTGTAAGATCCTGAATCATCATCTGGTGAAGATAATAAGACCCTTCTCCTCTTCGACCAATTTCGAATGCCACTGTGAAATTTCTCCATTCAGATTATTGCTTTGTTCCATTTATTGAATTGAATTTTCATCGAGTAAACCATTTCATCCCAAAACTAATGCATGCAGAGAAAGTTTAAAGGAAGCGATCTTTCTATACAAGGTCAATACTTTTCGTTGTAACAATTTGCATTTTATAAAACAAGAGACTATTTTTATCCTATAATTTCCTAAATATGTTAAACTCGAATTCGCTGTAACATAAAATATAAGCGTCAGATGCTCGTTTTCACTTCACATAAACTATCTTCCGATATATCTCACCCTCCCTCAATCAAAAAAAATAAAATAAGCTGCAACAACTTCGATCAAGAGGTGTGTCTTCAAACAAACGTACTTTCGGGTGCATTTTTTTTCCAAAATAATCTATTTTTTTAACGAATTTTGTAAATTCGAGCGGTTTTTTAAGTAAAAAAGTGTGATTTAGTTTACTTGGCATATAGTTTCCTATGATGGGTGGCGTTTAATTAGTTTGTCACACGTCAGTCTGCACGGTCAAAGGTGAGAAATGTCACATCTGTTCTATGGACTCAATCACAACTTCTACCGCTGCTAGCAACATCATTCTGGTAACAGTCGACAGGTGTCGGCATTGTCACAACTTCCACTAGAGACTACCTGAGCATCAATGGAAGGCACGATTGCAGTCAGCAATAAATTAAGCTAACTATACAGCGCGAGGGTGATTAGTTAGAGAGGGATTTAACTGATTGGTAAACAATTGATAAACTGCCCTTAATTATACCTCCACTAGAGACTAACTGCATAATGGAGGAGGTCG